AGCCACCGACTGGCCTCGCTGGGGCTGGGAAGCCACCAGGGCCCTTTGCTTTGCTGGACCAGATTTGAGCTCGCCGGGGTGAGGGGTGTGGGGACATCACACCTTTTTTGGGGTACTGCCAGCCTCCATTTTGGCAGGGATGGAGCGGAGGTGAATCCATCCCCATTTGGCTGCAAACAGTGTCTCGGAGCATCACCACGTATCTCTGGGAGCTGCGCTGGCTGGCTTGGGCTGCAGATGGGGACGGCTGGAGCTGAGGGAGGAATCCCACGTTACTATTTGTGGAAGGGACTGAAATGTTCCCGGCTGTGAAGGCCACGGCTCGGAGCCCGCTGGCTTAGCCGAGCCATGTCTGGGGGGAAAGGGGACATTCCCTTGCTGCCTAACGCCACCGAGGCCCCTGGTTTGTACCAGGGTGCAGCTTGACCCCGGCTCCGGTTGTCAATGCTGACCCTGAAATGCTGACACAACACATAGTTTCTCCTTAATAGGGCATGGAAAAGGCAATGCACGTCAGGGCCAGGCTTTTTGCTAATGTTGTGCCTTTCCCTGTCTTTATATGATCCAGAAATACATTGGGTTGAGCCCCTCCTGGGTACACTCAGCCTAAAAAAAAGATGATCTTGGGCAGATACTTCCTGCTCTGGAAGTACCATGGTCCCCAAGCTGGAAACCAGCAAACACAGTGGGTTTTGTGCAGGTTAGGAGGGTCTTTCCTTAAACATTGTTTGAGACCCTGGTTAAGAGGGTCTTGGGCTCGGATCCCTGCACAGAGACATCCTCAGCTCCTGGCCACTTCTCCAAAGCCAGTGTCTGATGGTCTGGCGTTACCCTGGGGTGAGGACCTCAAATGCAGATGTCCCCTCAACTTGGCATGGTTCTGGGACCGTGGGTTCCCCAAGTGCCACCCTGAACCTGATCACCTTCGTGGTCTTTTGAGCAAGACGTTCCTGCCTGGCTCCATGCCCATCCCCCTGCCGCAATTTGCTGCCCTCTCCTTGGTGCTCACAGGCTGCTGTGGAGCTGGGCTGGAGCAGGGAAATGAGCAGGGCTTTAAATAACCTCCTCCAAAATATATGTGTGTTTGTGTTGGATCGTTTCTGGGAGCCGGTTGACAGCCGGGCTCCAGAAACAGCGGGATGGGCCAGGGAGGGGGGAGGAAGGGGCAGGGGTGAGGGAGGGAAGAGGGGAGTTCCTCTAAGCCTCTTTGCTGCCAGGGAAAATGCGATACTGCACCATGCTGGAAGAAAAAAGGAAAGCTTTCCTTGGAGCTGAGATTTCTCCTGCTCATCTCGTGTCTCAGTGACGGGCTGGGGAAAGGTCACGTGCACCCACGCTTGTTTGCGTCCAGTGCAGAAGCGCTGTGTTGGTCAGTCCTATGGTCCATCCAGACGGATTAGGGATGTTTGAGGTATATCCCTGGCCTGTTGGCTCTAGTATCTCCTCATAAGGTGGCTTCCCCGTCCCCTTTTCCTACCTGCTTTAAATCCTGGGCATCCTCCTGAACTCCCCTGCAGCTCTGCCACAGCTCCATGCAGCCCAACGGCCCCAGCTCCTCTGGAGGATGAGGCTCAGTGGGTCCCTCTGAGGGGTCAGTTCAGAAAGCACGGTGCAGAGCAACCTGCAGGCTTAGATGGGGGGACAGAAATTAGGGTGCCTTACACCCAGGCCAACTTGTTGCAGATATAGGCTTGGATGAAGTGTCGGTGGCGATTTATACAGCGCTAGGAAGGGACCAGCACCTCTTCTGCCATCTGGACGTGAGCTGGCTTTGTCTCATTGTGTCCAGGGATGCAGATGGAGAAGAGCACCTGGAGCTCACAACAGGTATTTCTGTCCACACTATGTCAACCCAGTCCGAGCCCTGGGCCCTCAGTGCCCCTCAAATCCGTCCATGGTCAACCTGGCTCCAGCCTGGCCACAGCCTCAGTCCCTGGGGGAGAGATCGGGAAGAGATCAATGGAGCTGTGGCTTCTAATTTTGGCCAAGAGGAGGTTCCCATTGAAGAACAGCACTGTTCTCCAGCACCATGCTGGAGTCCATGGATAGTAACTGGCACTTGAGGAGCACGGAGATGAAAGGAGAGAAGAGGATGGGGCCGCCAGAGAGACCACTGAGATCAGCGTGTTTTGGCAGCCCAAGAGCGAGGGAAGAGAGTGGGAGCAGAGGACAGTGGGCGCAACCGGAGCAGGAAAGGGGGACGGGGGTGAGGGACAGCGTGTCCTGCTGTGTCCTTTCTCTCTGGAGAGATCATAGCTCTCTGCAAGAGAGTGGGGAGAGCGGTCAAAGGGTGGAGGGTGAGGGACAGCCAAGCTTGGACAGGCCCAGAGAGAGGGGAAGGAGTTGGCTGAGGGCAGGGCGTGACTGTCAGACATACCAGGAGTGAAAGAAAGGTGTTTGGTGACAACAAGAGGGGACACACTGGCAGCTGTCCTTGCAAAGTGGACCGTGGGCTGCTCCGGACAGGCTCTGTCTCACCGATGTCTCCATCGTCCCTCAAATCCTGGACAAATGAATCCCTGGGGAAGAGGGAGGAGGGAGGTGAGGAGAGACACGAAGCTTTTCCCACCCTGGAAACCGTCTCCACTGACATCTAGTGGCAAAATAGTCCTTTCCCTGGTAGAGAGGAGAGCTGGCTCCTCCAGGCGCTGCTGCCTCCCTGCTGCTCCCCATGAGCGATGCTGGGGTGGGTGTTTGAAGGAGAGGTGTTTTACCAGCACTGTACTGGTCATACTGGTGTTCCCTGCATGGTTTGCCTGGCTATGTCTCAATGAGGCAGCAAAGCGGTGCCAAAAAACACAGGCCCCAAAACACCACTGTTGGTGCAGCGACACTGTTAACGGGGCCCTGGCGGGGTTTGGGCCAGGAGTTAGCACGGGCCAAACCTCAACAGGGGTCTGGATGCAGCCACCCTGTTTGGGAGAGAGCTTAAACAGCTGGACGAGGGCTGGGCCATGTCAGACACCCTCACTCACGCTCCCAGGCAGCAAAGGTCCCACTCTGCTCTCCGTCTTCCCTTCGAGGGTCGGTACCAGCTCCAGAGCAGAGGCGCCTTCTCCACCTCACTGTTCCCAGAGTGATGCTGATTGCTGCCCGGCATGTTTATGGGGCCCTGATCTTTGCTCATCAACTTTTCATGACCCGAGCAGTCCAGCCCGAAAACGGAGGCAGTGTGGGAAGTGGCTGCCAAGCAGGCTGTTCCCAGAGTGATGCTGATTGCTGCCTGGCATGTTTATGGGGCCCTGATCTTTGCTGATCAACTTTTCACGACCCGAGCAGTCCAGCCCGAAAACAGAGGCAGTGTGGGAAGTGGCTGCCAAGCAGACCAGCCTGTGGCAATGCCTCTTGGTGGGGACACAGGGGGCATCAGCTGTCTAATTTCGAACCACCACTGGCCCTAACCTGCAATCCACTACTGTCAGCTACCTACAAACAAGAGAGCAGCCATACTGGCTCAGAAGAAATCTAGTCCAGAGTTTCCTTCTCTAGCCAAAAGCCCAAAGAAAACTGAAAATACGACAAACCTGTTTGCAGCGAACACCCAGCTCCCACTGCCTTCGTCTGCTCTTCACGGGAGCACCGTGGAGAGTCAGACCCTGCCCATCCTCTCGAAGCTTGTGTGCGTTGGTAGATCTCGACCACATTTTATCTTTCCCAGGTTGAGTCCCAACCCGCACAGCTTACTTCACACAGAGGTGCTCCCAGACCTGTAAGCATCCCTGCTGCCCTCCTCTGACTCTCTTCCAGGTTTCCTTTACCCTTTTGGAGACAGGATCAGATGTACCCAGTGGGCACACCATGGAATTATTTACAGAGCCGTGAAATGATGGTCTCCCATTTCTTCTTTCTTTTTTGATAATTCTAACATTTAATTTCTTCTTTTGTTGCACAGACCCCTGCAGCATCCACGTAAGGAGCAGAGCTGTGCAATGCCCCTGCCTTCGCCCATGGCCGCTCAGTTTCTGTAAAGCCTCTGGCAAGGCTCTCCAAGAAAAGCCTTACAGAAAGCCAAGCAGCTCATTTCAACCTTTTTGTCCTTATCCCCGTCTTCCAGCTCCCTTCTGGGAGGTTTGCAAGCCAGGACTTCCCTTTGCTGACTATTCCCAAACAGACCATATTTACCCACTAGTGTGCGGGTATTTTCATGTATCAATTCTACCCATTATTATTTCTAACTGAAATGGCACAACCAAACCCCTACAATCCCTAAACCGTTTCAAAATAAAATTGCCACTTTCCCCATCTTTGGCCACCACAGAAGTTTTAAGCGAGAAATCCCATCCTGCTGTAACTAATTTAACCCAGTGCCCAGACTGCAGAGGTGATGATACCATTGTAGGAAGAAAAAAACCCCACAGAAAATCTGCCCTGGAGCCACAGCTGTCCTATTTACTGAACTGTTTGTCTTGCAGCAAGGCGTAGGGACCACAGCCCTGATGCTCGAGATGCTGCACACATACAGTAGGAAAGACCTGCAATAGCTTTAAGTTTACAGTTAGCTATCATCCATATTTACAGTTAACTAGAAATAGTTAATAGCTATTATTAAAATTTACATAAAGCGGCAAATTACTGGATAACTACAGCATCCTCTGGCAGCAAAGACTCCTGATGTTTCCCTGGAAATAACCAAATAGCCTGTGATTTTCACACCTTTTTCCTGATGGGCGTTTCCTTCATCTGCGACTGCCTAAAAAAAAGGTTAAAGCGACAGAAGCAGCCTGTCAGGAGAGGGCTCTGCTGCTCCCCTCGCCTCCCACCGGCTCTGGAGCTGTGCTCCCCTCACGCCTGGGGTGGCCGGCCGCGGTGCCGTGAGGGGAGGGCCTCTTTACCATCAGAGCCGGCCTCCAGGTAGAAAATCGGGGTGAATTATCATGCTGCTAACTCCTGTGCCCGTTTATACCGGTTTTATAGCCGTTTTAATGCCGGCTCTGGGCGTTCACAGCAGCCTGACAGGGCGGAAAAACCCACTGACAGCGGTAGGGTTAAGGCTCCCCAACATGGCGGCGCGCCAGCGCACCAGGAAGACTACATTTCCCATCGGCCCCCGCCCGCCAGGCCACGTGAGCACGTCGGCCCAATGGGGAGCGGCGGAA